GATATTACCAATAAGAAGATTGAGGCCGGGGTCCTCACAGTCTATCCGGAGTGACTGAACCGAATTTGCTGAGAACCGGGCTCAGCGTCCCTCATATCATGATAATGATGATGATGATGATGATGAACTTCTACTGATTCTATGTAAACTGTGATCATACTAATGATGATGATGAAAAATATAGAAGACTACGTTATATCAGCAATTCTGGCCTCCTAATCCTAAAACAACTCCTAGCCCTCCCTACCCAACTCCTAACCCTACATCTCAGAGACAATGCCATCCTTTTTTTTTTTTTTTTTTTTTTAAATGGGCCCAGTGCCCAAGGCTCCAATTATGAATTTGATTACAACATTTAACCACACGCCTCTTCCCGTTAGGGCTGGAAGAGCCTCAGCCACTGCTCCCCTGGAGACAGCTTCCCTGCATAACTCGAATATAGAATAATCACAGGGCATCGATTGCTTCCGCAGTGAGGAAGGATTAACCCCGCTTTGTGCTGAATCAAGCTCTACCCTACTCGGCTCCTCAACTATCCACTACACTTCTGTACAGTGAGGAGTAGGGAGATTCAAATAAGGCAAAGAGATTAATAACATGGCAAGCTAGTTTGGTAGTTCATCAGTTTATGGATAGTTCTGATGAGCTTCCCCCCACGATCCTATTTAGCCACTAACCACACAAGTGGAGAAGGCTCCATTGCAGAAAGTTCAAAGCGAACTGTGGCCATTTCTAACGCAACCTGGGGCTCCGTTGTCCCATGGAGCTGCCAATAYCACCYRTGCCCTCTTGGAGCACCSCTTTTCTATGACCCAGCCCAACTCAGCAGCCCCCCTATTTGTTATTGCTACGCCTGTTCCTCTCAACCCTTTAAACCCTTGAAGCCCTTAAAACCCTCTTCCCTTCTCAAAACCCATGCAAAACACATTAGTAAACCTTGGAGCCTGAGGATCAGCAGTATCTCTTCCCTGACCTGCATTCATGGTCTGAGGCTCTGCTCCCTTAGATGCGTCGGTCTTCATCATTCCAGGTTTCCAGCCCTGGTTTTCCATGCCGATGTACAATCTCCGGTGTCACTGTCAACTTGCAGGTGGCGGCCTTTCAATGACGCTGTGGGGG